CGTAGCAATAATGTTTACGTAATATTTTCTAATAAAAAGCACTAAAAAGTTTCGGCAAAAAAACTTACCACTTAATTTCATCATCAGGAATCATTCTCGTGGCACCCCCTGTAAAAAAATGTGAAATAATACATAAAATAATATCCCTTGTCCAAAGATATGCCTTTGAGCCGATTTTGATAACAATTCATAAATATACAGTGAGATTATAAAAAAAAAATGAAAAAAAAAATTCAACTTTAACGCCCTGTATCTTATTCCACAGCCATATTTTATTAAGGTATATTTGGTCCTATCGCCATATTTTGATCTAAATAACCTGCTCTTAATCTATGTCCCAATAGTTATGAATCACCCTGTATATATTTAGTATGAATGAAAAAACAATATTACATTCTAAGAACATTTAAATAAATATAAACATGAAATAATTCATTCATTACTAGAAAATTAGTAAATTTAAAAAAAGACATAGAATTTAAAAATCACATCATGTAGAATAGATTACTTTCTGCACTCGTTGCACAATTAACTATTTAATGATTTTTTCTTTCGTGTCTACACTACGTTTACATAGTGCAGTTTACCTCCGAGGTATTACGTTTTACCTGTCAACCCACGATATTGTGTATTGATATTTAAACAACATACCTGTCATCATTAGAAATATCTACATTTAAAACTATTTCCTGGAACATCTCATCATTATATGATTCCGAGTTGCTTAAGAAGGGAGGGGGGATGAGAAAGCGTTTGTATGGGTGTATAATTTTTTTTAAACTTTATAACTAAAATTGTAGTTACGCATAAATAAGTAATGACCTGTTACAGGGTTTTGGATTTTTCAGGGGAAACTGGTGACAAAAAAATTAATAACAATAAATAAGTAAAAATAAAAAATAAATAAAAATAAATAAAAATAAATAAAAATAAATAAAAATAAATAAAAATAAATAAAAATAAATAAAAATAAATAAAAATAAATAAAAATAAATAAAAATAAATAAAAATAAATAAAAATGAATAAAAATTAATAAAAATGAATAAAAATGAATAAAAATGAATAAAATGAATAAAAATGAATAAAAATAAATAAAAATGAATAAAAATAAATAAGTAAATAAAATTAAATAAAAATAATTAAAAAGAAATTATTGGAACTTCTTACGCCATGCTATGAAAAATATGAGGAGTGAATTGATAGAAGCGACACCCCGACAGCCTAAGGGTGGAATGCCTTTTTCACAGTCAGTTTTATAAGACCTGTTAGAGAGTCTGGTGATATTTTATCCATCTTATTTTGTCAAATTTCTAGGTCCAGATTAATAATTACAGTAGTTGTTCGAAATGAAACCCTCCCGCGTCTACGCATTTTTGTTGCCGAATCTTTAAGTGCCGTATTGATTTAGGGATAGTCAGGGAATCGTTTCTAATAACATTAAAGCAAAGAATAATTCTATCAATAATTGTTGTCGGCCATTAATATTTTGTGAATAAACTAATTCTTTCAATCGATGCTCCATCATGTTGAATACATCTCTCGAATACCTATGTTGACAAGTAAATTAGGCAAAGTATTTTGCAAAAAGTCTAAGTAAAATTGTCCTCTTAAAGGACCATAAAAAAAGTGAGGCTATATTAATTGGTTATTTATCACACCAATCCACACGTTCACCGAAAACCTTAACTGAGAGTGAATCTCTCGAACAGCATGAGGATTGTCTTCTGTCCACACATGTAAATTACGGGAATTATTTATCCCATCCCATGTAAACTGTGTTTCATCTGTAAACAATGTTCTATATAGCACTGGTCTATGATTTGCAATCCACCTACAAAATTCCAACCTATGGATTTCATCTCCAGGATGTAGCCGCTGAACTAATTGAATATGATATGGGTGTAAATTATAAAGACTCTACTAACTTTTGATTGGGTAACATTAATTTGTCGACTTGGGTACTTTCCTGATGCTTATTGTGGGATTCGCAAAAACAGCATCAAGAATATTATCTTTCTGTACATGATCTACATTTCGTTCTGTATTTGCTTTAGGGAATGTGCCTCCTTCTCGCAAATAATTAAAAACTGATACAAATGTTGAATGACAGGGAATTCGACGACAAGAAAATTTTCTTGCAGCAACTCTGTCATTCCCATTTCAAAATCTGTACATAAAAATTATGTCTTCATATTCTGCATTTGAAAACTTATGGGACATTTTGAATAACAACACCAACAACAAAAACTCTTAACACTATTGTAAAATGGCTGAACCAAAGCGAAATATTATTTTACACGTATAAATAATGACAAACAAATATTAAAAATTAAAAAAAACCGAATTTAAATGTGACCACCCCTGAGGTACCCACTTACTAACAAAAAAAGAATCATAGAAATCGGACAAGGTGGTAAATAATTATCGCTAAACATACATAAAAAAAAAATACGAATTGAGAACCACCTCCTTTTTTGAAGTCGGTTAATAAATAAGAACAAACAAGAATAAAATGAGTAAATTTTTATTAGGGGCTGTTTAATACTAGCATTTATAATTATTAATTTAAATTTAAAGTTTTCTTTCTATGTAGTTTTAGTTCTTATTTTAAAATTTCCTAGAGTTTTTCGTTATTGTTATTCATTACAATTTATTTATTGTTTATTGACATGTTTAATTTAGTTGAGTAGTTTCTACAGTCTACAAAAATGTACAGGGCGATTTCTGTTTAAAATTTAAAAATTTATAACTGAACTAATCCGGACCAGGAAATTGGACAAAATGAGATTAACGATGCAGTATAGGCACTAAAGGCTTATGTTCGACTCTTTTTAGTTCAAATGTATACAATTAACAATGTTTTCTTTAAGTTATAAACATTATTATGTGACCCCTTAAGGTGATTTTTCAGTTTTCCCCAAATCGAAATTTAATAAAAAACGAAAATGTGGGAAAAATGTTACATACACAGTTTTGATTGTCTATCTATGTTCTTATGTTATGTTGGGAATAGGGTGTTAATACATTGCGACCTAAAAGATATATTGTGTCCCTTTCTGTCGCTAATGCAGCAAGGAAATGTCTCGGTGCCCTCTATGTACTTTAACAATCTCTTATTATAATTTTTGATATGAATCGTCGAGATTAATTTTTCCTAAGCCTTTCCTGGAATTTTTAACTTTTGAGGATATGCACGAAGTATAAATACCAGGAGTCCGATCGTAATGTTGAATGAATGGCATCAATTTGGGGGACAGAATTTTTGCCGGTAGGGCGCGCCACTTTTAAAGAAGTACTCGTTTAATTAATTATTATTTGAAAATTAAACAAATTTATTAATCAAGCATTTGTTAAAAACAAATTTTTAATATTATTTAGAGGTTACTCACTTTCGGTGCTTTGAATAAAGCCACTTTTCCTAAATTCTCATTTGCCTTTCGGCACGTCCTGAATATTTGCGCAGCCAGTTGCAGAAAAAAGAACTAAGATCTGGGTTTAATATTTGTGTACATAAATCCTCCAAAAAAGCCTATACCGTTCGGACTCCTGGTATCTATACTTCGTGAGGATATGAATTAAATGCTAGACAACAGTATACAGTTTCAACAAAAAATTAGAGAAATCTAGTAATCCTTGTAGATTTTACGGCCATATAAATTTTTGTCAAAAATCACCATTAACAGAGGGGCCACGTTAGATAAAACTCACCAAAAACTCTAAAACCAAAATTTAGGTAACTGATAAAAATAACCACGGTAAACCTATTGCAATAAATCCTCCTTTCCAAGTCACATTAGCCTTGGATTTTCTGTGTGATAAAACAAAAGATATCGCTTGTCAAAAATAGCGTCTAATACGTATGTTGCTGTAATTTTTTGAGTGCAATTATTGTTGATAAATTCAGTCTACTCTTTGTGCTATAATAATTGAATTAACTTTGATAATAATTAAGCAAAATAATCATCGTAGTAAGTAGATTGTTATTGTATAAAAAAATGTATTGCTGTATTTTACTTTTATTCAAAGAAAGCAAATTCATGAGTTCTGCAAAAATTAACAAATTTATTCAGTCCTAGGATTTCTTTTAGACAAAAAGTAGCAAATTCTGTCGTATTCAGCGTAGATTTTGGCATAGTTTCTTTTCGTAAACATTCTTATTTATAGTGGTATTGCGATTAGCTGCTACTTTTTGCTTATAGAGCCGTAATTTAGGCAGGCGCAAGAGAGTGATATGTTTGTAACCCTATTACTAGAACTGGCAGTCGGGCAACTTTTTTTATAATTTTTTTTTAATTCATGTTTTGTTAGCCCATGCATGATCCAAGTTATTAAATTTATTCGTCTAGAATATGCAGCTTATGAAAAACCCTAATTAAATCGGAATTCTATACTATACTATTAAAACTATAGTGTGAATTTTTATTTGTCAAATTTAAAATCTCCCAAAACTATTAACTTTAGGTGCAAGGAATCAATTCAAATGAAACTTTAATTAAGGTACTTTTAAATGGTGATATGACATAAAAATGAGAAAATGACTCACCCTGAACATATTTATTTCAAATTGAAACAATACGTCGGCATAAAATTTTGAATAACATCGAAAATCTTTTACCGCAAAAGAATGGGTTTCAATTGTTTCTTTTATTGTTATAATGGGAAAAGCGAGGACAAAAATACCTAACTTTGATATGTATCACTTTCTTGAAGAACCCCGTATAATTGAAATTATTTTTAAATTGTCTCCTTTTCTGATATACATCTTGCTATGAAAACAGATTTAAAAAAATCAAATAGTTTTCGCTCCACAGACCGAGGCGTTACCGGTGGCCCACCCTGTATATCTGACAGATTTGACCGGAACTTGGTTTAGAATAATCGTAGGTATACAATTCCTAGAATGCTTCGATATTTCATCTTGAATTAAACTCCAGAATATATAAAAATACAAATTTTGAAATATTTTATATTTTCTAAAAATTTTTTTTATTATTTTTAGAGTCGGCATCTACCTAATATTCACAATAGTCCGTTACATCAACAAAACTTACTCTACAGGAGCCTTCAAGATGAAAATCTGCAGTATGCTACTGAAGACAATTTGGATGAAAATGAAGATAAATCTGGAATTCTACATACATCTTTACCCGCACAACCTGGAATATCCAGGCAGCAGGTGGGTAAAAAATATTTATAACGTGTATTTTTTTGGCACAGAGATTATGAAATTTAACTAGAACGTAGGAATTTTTATTTTAAAACGATTTTATTCAGGAATTAATAATATACACGGTGTCCCAAAATTCCGTGTACATAGAGCTACTGTATATTGGTGAGATCAAAATAAGTTGATTGATCTAAAATTACTTATATCACAAAGTGTTTTATTTGCCTGTGAGGAAGCTTCAATGCTGAAAGAAATTTTTTTTTAATAGCTCAAAAACGCTTCGTTTTTATTTTTATAAAATTTGATATTTAACTATTTTAATTGAAGAGCCATTGTTCAAAGCAAAAATTACACCAACGAAAATCATAGAAGGGTAAAAATCACCCAATCCTACCATAAATTATATCGTTTTTTTTTAAGGCCGCTCCTGTTCCCTCAATGTTTTTTATGGATACCTGTATTCATTTGTAGAATATATTGTCTCTTGTAAAAAAACATGTATCTCTCATGGTATTTGAGTAAAAAAATAAGTTTTTCTATAATTATTCTGTTGATGTGCTTTTTGAAATCCTAGTTTGGCGTGCCAGTCGTCTCGTCGGGTACTAATTCCGAGATTAATTTCAACTATGTCAAGGATTCCCTCCTTTGCAGCAGCAGTTCTGGCTTGACGAGGTCGTCCATTATTATTTCTGTTCGGTTTCAGTTGATCAGTTTCTCGAAGTCGTCTCTAGATAGAAGCAAAAGTCTGGTGATTCGGAATCTGTCGATTTGGAAAGCTTTCATGGTATACCCGAATACTCTTACGACAGTTGCCATTACAGAAACTAAGCACTAGCAACATATCAGTTTGTTAATTAAATACCGCTGTATCTGTCAAAATTATCAATTTTTTATTAGTAACGTTGACAACCGCCAACTTTGTTTTCTTGAAAATTTGAAGTCTCTAACCATGTGTTTGAATTGTTACTTTTTATTCGAATGTTTCATAAAACGTTGTTTTTTGGACAAAAACATAATGAAAGGGATAACTTTTAGGTCCGTATTTATAAACAGATCTCAGCCAAGTCCGACTCAGCTGAGTCGTCCTTGAACGAAAATTGACGATCGGGTATATCGCGTGAATTTAGAAATGGGTAGTAACAAATTCGTAAATGTACTTAACAGTTACAGATTTGCTGCTATCCATCTCTAAAGTCCAGTGTAACACCGTAACCACCTGGAACTTCAGAGAAGTTGTAACCGAACTTCGATTTTCGTTCAAGGACGACTCACCCCAGTCCGACTCAGCACTCAGCTGAGTTCTGTTTATAAATACGGACCTTAAGTATACTTCAAATGAACTACTGAAAAACACAAAAGTGAAGCCAAATTCAGTTTTATTTTCAGTTTACCTTTTAGTACTGCTATTGTATAATTTGTATAATAGTAATATTCCACATGCACATCAAATTTGAATAGAAACATTTTTAATTTAATAAAAAAAACTAAATAAACTATAATTATTATTACATCGATTTGACACATAAAAGCACATTGACATGACAGCAACTGTTCAATTGTTATCAAGAATATTCATATATTCATATTCATATCGATCACAGCCATCTCAGTTATAAGAAAAATTTTAATGGATATCATTTCGGATTTAATTTTCTACATTTTTTAAATATGTATTAGCTCATTCGAATAAAAAATAATGTAAGAAACACGGACGAAAAGGGTATTTTCGGACTCATACTTTTCGTAGTCGCCCGAAAAACTTAACGTTTCGTCCTTATAACATAAACTACTATTTCAGTCGATTCGCAATTCAAGCTAAGTGAGTCCAGAGGGCGCTCTGGAGGAAATTTGTAGAAGTAGGATATGGTTATTCCGAATTCGTACAGTGTCGTACAAGATCTTTTAATATCTGCCAAAATATACGGGGTGTCCCCTTTAAATTAAAAAAGTTGAGGGTATTCCCGGAGTACAGTAGTAACAAAAAATATAGCATCAGATGCGTTATGCGTCATTGTATTGCCTTCAAAGTTTCATAAATATCATCCTTTTCGTTTTAAAGATATTTACTTGGTTTCATACTTTATCCCAACCCTGTATATTAATGTTAAAATCAAAATTAAAGTGTTCATTATTTTCCTAGCGTAAGTCGTAAAATTTTGTTTTTTACGATAAATGGATATCTACAAATTCACATTATTGAAATTTGGCAAAATTACCGTTTACATGTATACAAAGCATTACACCTTTAAACCACATAATAAAACATGTTCTGGGTTTAGTAAAGACATATTTCTAGATGTTTGTGAGGCAACCAGATAGGTGAAGATTTCCAACAAATTTGTCATAAACACATGATAAATATTATATTTATGACGAAAGCATGGAAAATAAAATTAACAGTAAATGAAACTCGAAAACACTATTATAAGGAGAACGTTATCTAAAAACAAAATCACAAATACAAAATCCCGCTCAATTCAAACACAATGTAAATAAACAAATATCCTACTTATAGGTGACAAATAAGAGACGCGCGAAAATTAATTGGAATCTCGATGATTGATTTTTTTTTATTGTAATTGTTCGGGTTACGTTAGTTATAACCACCAACGCAAATACCATGAAAGATACATGTTTTTTGCAACAGACAAAAAATGCTACAAATGAATACAGCTCTTCATAATAAAAATTGAGGGAACAGGGACGGTACTAAAAAAAATACGATGTTATTTAAGTTAGGATTAGGGTGGTGTTTACTAGGGTGTGCCAAAAACACATGATATTTTTTTTCTTGCTCTCCGCCCAAAATATCGTAGAATATGTTCGAACAAATATCCTGTTAAAAGCGGAGCATAATTTCAATTTTAAGAGGTCCTTCATCGAATATGTTCTTCAATAACTTGTAGCAAATATTGTTTTTGCTCTTCACTCCTGGTTAAACAATTATTGCATTGCTGTATAAGCCTCTTTTAGCCAAATCATTGACTCACAAGCAAATGAGACACTTTGTGATTTAAGTAATTTTGGCTCGATCGATTTATTTTGATCTCACCAACATACAGTGTACATGGAATTTTGGGACACCCTGTAAAATTATATCTACAATACAGCTTTTATCGCGAAAAAAATGACCTTTATTCATAAGAATAAATCTATTTTTTATTATAGTTTATTCCAGTAGATATTTCTTGTTCTTTCTGTGATATTTAATCGTTAAATTTAATAATTTTTAGTGGATATAATTTTTTCTCAAAACAAAAACCGTTATTTTTTTTATACAAGTTTAACATTATTTTTAATCATTATTACCACTTTTTATTTAAGTTGATAAACAGCCCCTGTCCAATTTGTGGCGATAAAATTTCTGGCTTTCATTATGGTATCTTCAGTTGTGAATCGTGTAAAGGTTTCTTTAAAAGGACGGTCCAAAACAGAAAAAACTACGTCTGTCTCAGAGGAGCTCAATGTCCAGTAACAGTAGCTACAAGAAAAAAATGTCCTGCCTGTAGATTTGATAAATGTCTGCAATGTGGAATGAAATTGGAAGGTATGTTTTTCTTATATGCAATCGTGTACAATTTAAAATGTCTAGTTAAATAATAATTAAACAAGTATTATTTTTTTTTCTTGTAGCTATTCGGGAAGATAGAACCAGAGGAGGTCGGTCAACATATCAATGCTCCTATTCATTACCTCCTTCCCTAACCAATCACTCTGATCTAAGAGCAAGTGCAACAGACTTAAGACACATGGGCGACGGCCATCCAGGCTTTACAGTCAAGCTAGAACCTTCAGATATGATGCCTCATTCGAGGAGAACCATGTTCCCTGGATCCAAGGGTGTCCCTCCGTTATTGCAGGTAAAATAAAATGTGGACAATTTATTTTCTAAGGTAATTTAAAATCTTCCTTTATACCTACAAAAAAATATATGCAAATTTGAGGAACTTAAATAAATTAACATATAAATAAAAATTTCCTTGGTTTTATATAAAATTCTGCTACGGTCAGGAAATTATCATTATTTAAATAAATAACATAAGTGAATGCTGTTGTTTGTATCATCATTGATCATTGAAAAACTGCGTTCATTCTTCTTTATAAAATTTAATAAATTACGATGTTCTTTTTTTTTACTATATATCTAGGAATGGTAATATTATTTTTGATCTGATCACCTAAAATGTCGACCAGTAAAATACGCCATAAAAGTGTGACGTAATTTTGGTTCCACTGACAGTTAATTCTAACCAAACTTTTAACAATATTTAACATTTTTGCTTTTTTATTTTTTTAGTAAATATTATTTGCAGGTCATGAAAAGTAGTGTTTATGTTTTTAAAGATATGTCAGTGGTTAATAAATGATTATTTACTTGATGCGTGCTTAGTATGCATTTCTCATATACAATGGTATTATAGTGGTATTTGAAGATCTAATAACGAGTCTGAAACGGCGCTTGGCCCGAATTAGCACATCAAACTGCCGTCTAGGAATCTCGACAGTCAATGTCGTGATATTCTAGAGGTAGGGCAGCGACAGACTTTTTTTAATCTCAAAATATTTGTTTTCACCTTTGGGATTCGGTGATGGTCTTAATAATTCGTAGGTCTCATAGGTCTCCTTTGGAATGGAGGCTAGCTACAGAAATATCGAGGCCGAACAAAATTAGATGGGCTTCAAGTTGTTCTTGATGAAAGAATTAAAAAACTGTCAGTGACTTTGTTTAGGAAAAATTTTATTTTCATTTTGTATTATACACCCACCATGTAGCAGTTATTTGTATTTAGTACATTATTTTTATGCTATGCATTATATTGCATGACAAATATTAAAAAAAAAATTATCTTACTTATACATCTGTATCTGTAACGTGTGAAAGGTGGGTTACCCCCATGGCACTTAGGCCTCATTAGGCCCATTGTGCATCCTCCTGAGATGATAGACATCTCCTGGCTCGTGAGCAAGCCTACAGATTTAATGAGGTTGACAACGTCGCCAAGAGATGCTTTTCTTATATCGGCCGGTGTTAGCCAAAGATCTCATCTTCTTGTTCGCACCCTCTGAAGAGTTCGGATTCTGACAGCCCCATGATATGGAGATGCTTTAGTACTTGGCAATGACCAGTCAGAATGCCTGTGACTAGGTGCAGATTCTGTCTAGTCATAGTCAAGTATTTGTTTGCTGCAGTATTGTCAGGATAACTTAAGAGCTCTCTGGCAACTCTGCAGTTTCTTGTCACATCCCCAATTCAGAAGTTCCGAGTTACGAAGATACCCTTCTCATTATCCTGGTTATAGAAACTATCCTTTTCAAGTTGAATGTTCTTCAAAATTAAAAACCTGCATTCGAATCTGTATAACAACAATAAATCATTAAAAAGAAACAGGAAAAAACTGTTATTTAAATAATTATTTATTTTATGTATTTGCGTTTATTTTCCTTTATGGTTCTTTCTTTAACCATCCCATAATAATATCCTTATATATTTCATTTAATTCCTTAAATATTATCCTTTAGTATTCATGAAATTTCTGTAAATGGCATATATTTTATTTTTTATACCATGGTTTCTACGGATAAATAACAAACAGTTGCTTTAACAATTACATACTGTCAATAGACCTTTTCATCATGTGATGAGCGCAAGCGCAGCCACCATGTTGAAATAGCGGTAATGGCTGGGAAAGCAATATTATCTCTACAGAAAAATTAATCATTAGAAAAAATCGTTGATTGTGATTAACTTTTTTAAAACTCTATGGAAGCACATAGTTGTGAGCAGTTGAAAAGGTGGTTGAAGTGTCTTGGACGTTTGTTACAAAGAAACAAAGTGGACTGATTGAGAGGTTAGGTGTATCAATACTTCTTAACTGTGTAAAAAATTAATGAAAACAAATATTAATTATAACTCTATTCTAATTAATTATCCCAACCGACTATTATTACTTGCAAAAACACTTTAATTAACATGAAAGTTAATCACGAGTATAATTTATAAAATAAATTATTTAATATTTTGAGGATCAACATGACATTTTTAATCATATTACTATGTATACCGAAGTAGTATTTAATATTAAAAAAATATTGTTTAATACCAGATAAGAATTTTTTTCTGTTGGGCCACTTTCTCCATGAAAATGCAGTGAACAAATATAAATATCTTTAGTAACATCATTAATCCATCGAAAACCGTTGTCACTTCGTCCATATTTTTTTACACCTAATGCACATTTTGCCTATTTTTTTATATGGATTTTGCTTGATAATATTTTACGATATTGCAGCCAAGGCTTTGGAAAATTTATAAAATAATATGTATTGCCTTTGAATGAGTATACCGTGTGTCACTTTTACATAACAACACCGTTTCGTTGTTCCTTTCCATACAGATAACATAATTATAATTGATTGCAAACATGTATTTTTCAATTAAGACACTAAACTTATTATTACTTTACTTTTTCTTCCTTTTGTAAATGAATAAAAGTACTTAAATTATTATTTATCGATTATAATTTTTTTCACTTGAGCATTTTAACATGCTTGTTTACAAAAACAGTACGAAAAAGATGGCAGATACTAACGCATGCGCACAAAAAAAAATTGTGATGAAAAGGTCTATTGAAGCTTTCGATTTATTGTTCATTTTAAGAGACTTAAGAAAAATTAAACTTTCTGTTACATTGGTTACACGTTTGCAAAAATGGCAGAATTCTGGGTAATGGTCAGGCTAAAACAAGGTTTCAGATAAGCACCTGTAATTCTGGTAATCACAGGTGAATGCCAAGGGTACTTTGCGACCGCAACTTGCTGGTGATAGTGATCGTCCAAAAATTAATACAAACGATGAGGAGATTTCAGATTTAGTTGAAGAAAACCCTGCTCAATTAGATGTTGGTCACATGATGGTTTTGAGAAGATTTAAGGAACAGCAGCTATCTTAACAACCGTTCAAGAATTACTAGATGAAGATTATCCTAAAATAATGATATGTTGCGACTGGTTCTTAACGGAAAACAATCGTAGTATCAATTTCATTAATCATATTTTGTTTACCTATGAAGCTACTTCAATAGAAATGGGCCGAAAAAAATCCTCACGCAAAAAAGTGACTCATCACCAAAGGCTTTTTCTAGTCAATGTTTGGACAGGCATTCTGAATAATAATTTAATAGGACCAGTATTTCTTGAATTAAATTAAATGGTGCAAATTACTTGCAGTTCTTACAAAATGATTTACCCAGAGTACTTGGAAGAGGTAAATTTAGGAATAAGGCAAAATATGTGGTATTTACAAGATGGAGCTCCAGTGCATTTCAATAACGAAGTTAAGGAATATATTTTTGGTCTGTACCCTAGACGTTGGATTGGAAGGGGCCCTGATGCACCTATTTCTTGGCCAGCCAGAATTCCAGATCTTAACCCTATTGACTTTTGCTTCTGAGGTTTTATGAAAGAGGACGTGTATTCTTTTGAAATAATCGAAGAACAACAACTGGGACACCGAATCATTGAAAGTGCAAATCGATTTCGTCAGAAGCCAATGATCTTCCAAAAAATTCTGTTTTCCTTTTTAAGACGTTGCCGAATGTGTATTCAGGAAAATGGAGGCCATTTTGAACATTTATTATAATAAATACTACACATTTGTACATATTTTGTATACCTGCGAATAACATAAATACTCGTAACAAAGCCTACACAGAACACGAGGCTAATGACCTTAGCAGTCGATGCCGATGACATCAAATTAAAAAAAAAATACGTGTGGCACTCGGGGACTGCCGCGGTAAAGCTATTGCATAGCATTTTTTATCAACTTATGCAATTATAATTATTTATTTATTTTATTTATGCAGTATTTTTTTTTCTTTGATATTAATTCAAGTTTTTTCTTTGATATTAATTCAAGTTACACTTTTTTAGCGTGGTGATTGATAAGAAAACAATTTTTTTTTCTTCTATTAAATAAATGAGTAGTTAATATTGTTTAAAATATTTTTATTATCTTACAATACATGAGGTTATTCAGGAATTTTTATCATTGAAACTATAGGTTTATGGTAACTGAAATAAGAAACATAAGTTTGAGACTTGATATACTCTAAATATCTGGAAAATACCGCGTCAATGGTGGTCCCATATTTTGTTGTGGATTCTTGTGGATCATTATTCATTTTCAAATTCAATTTTTCCGAAATTGTGTCTAAAAGAGATAGAATCAGTTATGAGCAGTTAGCAGCTAGTCTACACGCATACGTCTCGTCGCACGCACACCGTGCCGTAAAATGCCGAACTGAAACGACGTTAGACGATGCACGGCTTTCAACGCCGCACCGATGCGATTTTTCGGTTTTTTTAATTTTTCGATTTTTTGATTTTTCGATTTTTTGATTTTTCGATTTTTTGATATTTCGATTTTTTGATTTTCCGATTTTTCGGTTTTTCAATTTTTCGATTTTCCGATTTTTTTTTATTGAATAAATGAGAAGTTAATATTGTTTAACGCCGCACCGCTGTGCCGGTTGGAAGGGGGGGTGTTAGGTTTTTTTTCGTTACGCTTTACGGAATTTCTTGATTCGGTCGCCGCGCTCAAAGCTCGCGATAAAAGCTATGCAATAGCTAAAAAAAACATAAATACTCAGTTATAACTTTTTGTTACGCGATAAAAACTGGCTTTTCGAAAAAGTACTAAGAGGCAAAAAAATGTAAAAAATGATCTATTAAACCAATGGTGTCACAATACTAATTTATTTGTAACGCATAAAAAGTTTGGGGGTTTTAGGGATTCAAAACCCCCTAAAATTTTTATGGGCTCTACAGATTTCGTGGTTTTACATGAAAAAGATGCTCT